GGGCCCTAAAACCACGCTGCAGAATAGCCATGCCCACAGGGCACACATCCTAAAGCTGCAGTGCAGTGCCCAGTGACAGCCTCCGAGACGACTATGACAAAGACAGAACCTCCCCAAGACCCCACAGAAAGCAGGGTCTGGGGGACGCTTGTCATCCCAGCTGAGGCAGAAGATCGTGAACTGCAGGATGACCATGATTTTGAGACCAGCTTGGACTACATAATGAGACCCTATTTCAAAACAAAGCAACCAGCCAGGTATGATGGTGCATGCTTGAAACCCCAGCACTTGGAAAGTAGAGACAGGAGGATCAGGAATTTTTTTGTTTGTTTGTTTTTGTTTTTGTTTTTGGAGACAGGGTTTCTCTATAGCTTTGGAGCCTGTCCTGGAACTCGCTCTGTAGACCAGGCTGGCCTCGAACTCACAGAGATCCACCTGTCTCTGTCTTCTGTGCTGCGATTAAAGGTGTGCGCCACCACTGCCCGGCTGAGGGTCAGGGATTTGAAGCCAGTCAGGGATAGAGATTGAGACCCTGTCTCAAAAAGGAAAAAAAAAACAAAAACAAAAAGATTCACCAGCTCCTCTGCCCTTCACAGGCCTTGGACGACGCCAATAAGGGCATCATCGAGGAACTTAAGAAAACTAACTACAGGGAGATACTGAGGGAAAAGGCAGAGAAACGTGAGTCACCCTGACCCCAGGCTCTCCTCTGCGCTTCTCTCGCGGTAGTCCTGCCAGTCACTCCCAAGGCCAGGCTGGCACTGCCCTCCCAGCATGCTCACTGAGGTGCCAGCAGCAGCTGCATCCTTTCCCAGGCCAGGCCAGGGTGAGGATTTAGTTCACCTTGGCCTGGCCTGGCCTCCAGTCCAGCTGCCCCGTGAATCCATTCAGCTCTGTCTTCAGGTTATTCATGGACTTGAATCAAGCACTCGCCACAGGCCAGGTCGGAGTTAGATTCTCTGAAGACTGGGCCTCTGCTCTGCAGGAACCCACAGGCCGGCAGGAAGGCAACAGAGCGGCCAGCACTGGCTTCTACCAGCCAGGGCCCAGCAGAGTGGGCGTGCACTGTGTGAACACACAGGCTCGGGGCGACCCTGGGGAGCCAGGGGGAGCCTCCAGGGGTAAAGGGTCTGCCTCTAGTTCCCAAAGAAGCCCAGCAGTTTCCCAGGCGAGAGGTCGAGGGGGGAGGAGGACCATTTCCAGCAGGACACAGCAAGAGCAGACACTGACCAGATGACAGGCCACATCCAGGGCCACTACTGCCAGTCAGGTACAGGGTGACATACCTGTCCTGCTCTTTCTGTGCCTTGTATGAAGTGGGAAGCTGTGTGAGGCTGGTGACTGCCAGGTCCCATGCTAGGGAGTGTGCCACCTAGCCACTCTCCCAGCTGGGCCGTCTGGTGTTGCGCATCTGGGACCTCGGCACCGCTTAGCGGCTTCACGCTAGACCTCCAGGGAGCAAAAGGGACTTTGACCCTTCAGGCTCTGCTTGTCCACAGAGGAGGCCTGAGGGAAAAAGAGTCAAATTACGGGCAAGCCCAGAAGAGCTGGTTTGAGAAGGGCGGCAGCTGGTCTCCACGGCTGCCCAGCTGCCGGACATTCTAGGGGTGTGGTAGGCACTATTGCCCCTTTCCGGGGACACTGTCAAGGTACTCAGTTTTACTAAGGAGGGCACTAAGGCAGGGGACTTAGAAATCCACAGTGGTTTTCAGTTTGGCCATCTAGCTTTAGATCCGGGGCCTCAAACGGGATTCCACACTGGTCTCCTCCCTCTGTAGGACCCTGACCTCAGCATGGTGCAGTGGGTGGGGTCACAGAGCTCAGTGTGGATTCCTAGCTAACGCCCTCCAAAGATTCAAGGTCAAGTCCTCTCTAGTCCTCCTGGCCACTAGCATGGCAGAGCAGCCAGATCATCGCCCCCTTTTGCATGTGTATGTGGATAACGTGTGTAGTGTGTATGTGTGTTGGTACACATGTGTACACATGTATGTGACCTCTGATCCAGGCCTGTCTGTCACATTTGCACTCCAGGGATCACCTGATTCAACCTCCTGAGAGCTGGGATTACAGGCGGGCCTCCATAACTGCTCGGCTTTTTTTTTTTTTTTTGTTTTTTTTTTAAAGGCAGCGTCTCTTGGATCCCAGGCTGGCCTCAGATTTACTCTGTAGCTGAGCATGGTCATCAGCTCCTGATCCTTTCGCCTCTACCTCCCGAATCCTGGGTTTTCAGGTGTGGGCCTCCACTCCCAGGGATCAGGAATCCGGCTTATCTACTGAAGGGTCTCACTAGCCCAACAGCTCTTTCTTTTCTTTTTCTTTCTCTCTCTCTTTTTTGTTTTTGTTTTGTTTTTCGAGGCAGGGTTTCTCTGTGTAACAGCCCTGGCTGTCCTGGAACTTGCTTTGTAGACCAGGCGGGCCTCGAACTCACAGAGATCTGCCTGCCTCTGCCTCCCAAGTGCTGGGATTAAAGGCGTGCGCCCGGCCAGCCCTTTCTTGTCAAGCGCCTACTATAAAGTAGCCGATTCCCCCAAAGAGAGGCCAAGTCTCTGGTTGTACATCACACGGAGCAGTGAAAAAGCCAGTGGACTGGAGTGTCAGGTGTGAAAAAAGATGACGGCGTGGGGTGGGGGTGGGGAGTGCAGCATTCCAAGCAGCCCCCCACTCCTCTGGGCCGGCCACATTGCTGGGCCAAGATTCCCTCTGCCTTCTCGTGGGGGCACTTCCTTCTCTGGACAGTAGATGGCAGTGTAAGACTTGTACAGGAACAGCTTCCAGGAAGAGCATGAAGGAGATCCAGGAGGTGATGGTGACTTTTCTGTGATTATCAGAGACAAGGAGCAAGAATCCCTTTGGTCATAAACAGCAGCTCTCCAGCAGCGCCTCTTGCTTACCACAGCCTGCTCACATGTCTACAAGAGAACTAACTCAATGCTGGCCGCTCTCCGGGGACAAATACAATGGTGGTGGGATGGGAACCCTGGAGAAAAGAACCCTGTCACTTCCCAACACCTAGGCCGTTTTTGTTAAGGGAGGAAGGATTGCCTTTTGCATCAGGCGTGTTTGGTGTTTGCCGGAGCAGTGTGGTATGCAGCAGCAGGGGTCTGTGGCGGGGACTGCTCGTGTGGCATGGACCAAGAAACAAGCACCGGTGCCCTTTCCTGCAGGGAAAAGCACCTGTGCTTTTGGGCCACACTGTCTTGGGTTCAAATTCTGGCTTCGCTCTGGCTTGGAGGGGATTGTGGTGTAATGTCAGTCCTGGGCTCCTGTGCGACCTCATGATAATCAAGTGGGAGGATACCCGCAGGATCCCACTGGATGCCAGAGCAGGGCTGACCTCAGGCCCTGAGGAGTGACCAGCTCCCAGCTCCATCCCTTTGGAAGCGTGTTCTGTCACACCCTGTGAGAGAGCCTGTGACAGCGGCCACTCTCAGGGCTTTGCTCACTCTGAGAGTCACAGTAGATTTCCACACACACACACACACACACACACACACACACACACACACACACACTCCGCCCCGTTCTGTCTTTCAGAGGAGGTCTCTGCCCTGATGGAGTTGTCAGGAACCTCATCAGAGAAGGAAGCAGCGAGACGAACTCGAGAAGACTCAGAGAAGAGTGGAAAGGATCCGACGGAGAGCGAGAGAGACACCACGGACGAGGAGGGGTCGAAGCAGAGAACGGAGGAACAAGACTCCGGAGGACTCACCAGAAAACTGCTGGGGGACAGTAGGGCGTCCAATGAGTTGAGCAGGAGGGAGTCCAAGGAAAGTTACAAAAGGCTCTCACAAGACTCCAACCACACAGTCTCAGACGATTTAAGCCTAAAGGATCTAAAACCAGAGAAGAAAACGGCAGAAGTCGCCAGAGGGGAGGTTGAAAGGTTGGAGAAAACAGAGGGAGAGGACAAAAACAAAGACTGAGATGCTTGGCAAACAGCAGAGGACTGGAGACTTGCTTCGTAGGCATTAGGTTCAGGAGGACAGCGTTCCCAGGCGAGATGTTTTTAACACAGGAAAAACTGGGAGGGCCGCTCCTACCAGTCACCCCATGTGCCCCGTTTTCTCATTAAATGCCTTAATTTTTACAGATCCTGAGTGAGTCATTGTTGCCTCGTCTGTCCCCCTCGTTCTCAGTAGGGAGCTAGTGGAAGAAATGAGAGGGGTGGGTGGAGGGGTGGGTGGAGAGGCGGGCGAGCCCCAAAGAGCCCAGAATGCTCGAAGAAGAGGTAAAGAAAGCCCTGAAAAGAGGTGTTTCTGCTTGCTTCTCGGCCATTGGCTCACTTCCCCCAGGACGTACTATGTGGAGGGTACTGGGATTGGGGTGGTGTGGGGGTACACAGAAACCGCGCGCTAAGCTTTTCTCAGGGTGGACTTCTAAGCAGAAAAAAACCTACCTCAGCCGGAAGCCGAACTACAGACGCCAAAAAGCAAGGTCAGTACATTTAGGGACTTTTCCAGAACGGTGGACTTTGATGGATTAGGTCTTTGTTTTTGTTTGGGCAGGTGGTGCTGCCTAGCTGCCTGGTTTCCCGGCCCGAATGGTACTTCCATCATGGTTTCAGTCCTGTTAAGGTCCAGGGGCCTGTTACAAAATTTTAAGAGATCTGACTTTGCCACATGCATGACAATAGCTCACTCATTTCCTCCTAACCTGCCTGGGGACGTGGGAGAGGCAATTGCTTCCTGTTTTAAGAGTTAACGTTTTTTCTCCCTGAGAAGTGGCCCACATCTTTAAAATCCGGGCACTCTGGGAGCCAGAGACAGGCAGATCTCTGTGAGTACCAGGCCAGCTCGGGCTACATAGTGAGTGCCAGGGCTACATAGTGAGTCCCTGTGTCAGGAAAAAGAAAAAAAAAAAAAGTTAATCTTGAACTTTGGCACAGAGAGTCCAGGTGTGCCTTTGCGCTCAACCAAGGCTCAGACCGCTGCTTGCCAGCACCCTGGTTTCGATTTCCCGAGAGCGCGTGCGCAGAGGCCAGGGCTGACCCCGCCCCGTCCGCGCGCCCCGCCCCCGGGCTATGAAAGGCGCCCCGCGTGTGGTCCTGACACCCCAAGGCGCCCGTGTCCCTCGCGCAGGCGGGCGGTCCCGGAGACGGTGCCCGCAAAGGCGGCGACGGCGGTGCGCCCACTCATCATGGTGAGCGCAGCGCACGCGTGGGGGCCGGGCGGGAGAGAGACTTAACAGAAAGCGAGAGTCTTGGGAAACGCTTGGGCAGAAGTGGCTTGCAAATGGGGGCGCCAGGTTCTGGAGTTGAAGTCCAGCATCTGGGCCCTCCAAGGCAGCTCAAAGGCAAGGGGTGCGGGGAAGGTTTTGTTTTTGTTTTTGTTTTTTGGGGGCGGGGAGGGGGGGTTGTCTCAAAGCCGCTGAGGAAGGAAATCCCATAGCCTGAAAGATGAAGTTGATGCTTCCTGGGGACACCAGCTGGCAAGTGGGTCTGGGCCCCCCGGGCAGCACCAGAGCTTAGGGGTGTTTGGGAGCTGGCATTAGAAGTGGGTTCCTAACCACCGCCTCCTGCACAAGGCCATAAAGAAGCCAGAAGCCAGCTGAATTCTCTGCGTGCACACCAAAGGCGGAAGCCAGTGTGGCTGACAGTTGAAACTACCCTTACTTGTTGCTTTTGTTAGAGAGGTACTGCTAACACGCAGCAAAGTAGGGGGCAGAAATCCCTGAATACAGGTGCCCTGTGCCGCCTAGTCCTACAGAC